ATTGTCTTGAATATTTCCTTTAGCCTGTTTGTTTCATTGTTATAAAGCTGCTTGAGAAAGTTGTTTGTTCGGGGACATGGCGTTGAATTTCGAGTATTGCCTGTTCACTATTTTGTTTTATTGCCTTAATTGCTAGGAGCATGTTTAGGCCGTTATCACTCGGGTAGGCAAATCTTCGGTTTTCTTTAGTTCATTTTTACTTGAGGCGAGAGGTCGTTTCTCGTAGTTTATTATCTCGGGAATGCCCCCTCGAAATTTGTATATATTTTTATCCGGGTATACCCCGAAGTATTTGTATTTGGAGGCCGAAAGTAGAACTCTCAGTATTTAATCTTTATTTTCATTTTCATTTCTCTTTTATTAGGTGGGGACGACCTCGAGCCTCTTGTGTGTTTGTTTTTCTTTTCTGTGTTTATTTTTACCTTAATTTGAATATTTTAAAAGCCAGCTAGATCGAGTACGCAACCGTGACTTTCACGGGACCTGGGGAGTGCCTAGCACCTTCTCCCCGAGTCAAATGAACCCCCTTACCTAAAATCTCTGGTGCCGACTTAGTTTTGAGTCCAAGTGTTTTAAAAGAAAAAATTACTTCTAAAAACACGATGGCCGGGCACACCGGAATCAATTGCCAGGTGGCGACTCTAAAATCTTCTGAAACACAATATTTTTTGTCACTTTTAATTAGAAACACTTTTTTGAGCTTTACAAATCTTTTTTATTTATTTAAGAGCGTTAGTGATGTGAAAAAAAAGGGGTGTGACAGCTCAGGCGACTCTGCTGGGGACTTGCAGGTTCGAGCTGATACTACGATCTTGTTGGATTTTTATAATATTCGGTTGAGGTTTTTATGTTTTTTTTAGCTTTATCTGATTTTTATTATATTTTTATACTTTGTTATTATTTGCTAGTTGTTTACATGTTTATAGTTTTCTTTTTATGTGTTTATTGCTTTATAACTGTCATCATTTGCATAACCTCGGGTCTTCTTTCTGCAACAAGTCTTTCGGAGTACGTTTGAGCGTACACGGCCTTTTTGTGAGTCACCCGTGTCTTTTGGGGGGTAGCGTGGGAGCGTGGAGTGGGCGGACAGTTAGAGCAGCCGTCATCGACCACGTGCCGCCTCGAATTGCCTTGTCTAGTCGGCCCCAAACGTTGGTCAACCTCTAGGTCATGCTTATTTGCATCATATTATTTAAACCTAGCAGGGTTCGGTCCCAGGCACCGTACCCCGTTGTAGGAGGCCTATCCAAATTATTTTAAAATGGGCTTATGGCCAAAAAGACATTTAATCATCCCTATGTGCTACATGCTGCATTTTGTTAAGGGGTAAAAGGGTCATTTGACGGACCAATAATATTTGAGGGTGAAATATAAAATGAAGCAAGTAGGGCCCACTCACATTTTTCTTTCATAATTTTCCAAAAATAAAAAAAATCCAAAAAGATTTTATATTCAATCATCTTTCAAAAAGAAAAAAAATAGTTTTTCCAAATTAGTTGCATTTTTTAAGCTTTCTCCCATGTCCGATCTTCCCGAACTACGCATACCGGATTCTCGTCTTTCGGGGCGGGATACGTAGGCAACCCACATAGGTTCCGGTCTTCCTAGTAAGTCTTAAGTTCTTAGCTTCGCGGGGTCTTAGCCAAATTTTGCATGTCTAGCCACCTTTGGCCACATCGGCCGTTCCTGCAAAATGGGGCAATTTTTGCAAAGGTACCTCAGTGACCCATGTCTTAGCATCTTGAGTCCACAACTAGGATTCATATTATTTCAAGGTCCATCCCCGCTGCATTTGCGTGTCTAGCCACTCTTGACCATATCGGCCGTTTTCGCAAAGTGAGGTCATTACCGCAGAGTAATTTTGGAGACTTGATTCCTAAAGAGGTTGGGGGCTGCGTAAGTCTTCGTGAGGTGTTTCCATGTCGTAGAGGTCATCCTAATTGAGTATTGCATTTTTAGACTCCTTTGGCCACATAGGCCATTTTTGCAACATCAGCCCCAGTCATGTCTCATGTATGTCTGATAGGAGATGTCAACACCACATAGTGTCTTGAGTCACTAACTTTATTTAGCCTTATTCCTTTCAACAGGTATGGATCCACTTATCAAGGCTAGAGTTTCAATGGTGGTCAAAGTCCCAAGAAGGCTAGTAAAATGGTGCAACATGTTCACATTACTTGAGCAGCATGATCTGATGGGTAAATTAAGGACTCTTATTTCATTGATGGACATTACCCCCTGTCCCGACCTCGTAGAAGCAATGTTGACATTTTGGGACCCACAGGGGATCGTATTTAAGTTTGGGGATCTCGAGATGACACCCACCTTAGCTGAGATAGTCGGGTTGACTCGCTTGCCATACCTAGACAAGGATTTGATTTACACAAGGGCTCATTCTAGCACAAAGTTCCTTAAGATCATAGGGATGGATTTGGAAAACCACATGGGATGTGTCGATCAATCTTGGGTACCTTTAGACTTTTTATTTGAGAGGTTTGCTCGTCCCACTGGATACGAGACATTCATAGATGAATTCTCCATATCATATGATTCTTGGAAGAAGAGGCGCCCTATGGTCTTCACTATTGCATTGTTGGGTCTCTTGGTATTTCCTTTGGAGGGTAGACATATTAGCACGCACCCGTGATCAATAGCCTTTGCACTTTTCCATGATAAGCACAGCAGTAAGGTCACCTTGGTTCCGACAATTTTGGAAGAAATCTACCGTGCTTTGACCAGGATTCGAGAAGGCAGGAGGTTCTTTGAGGGAAGCAACTTGTTGCTGCAGCTGTGGTTGATGGAACACTTACATCCCGCCACAATGTTTGAGAAAGATGTGATTGACCGTTGTCTAAGAGATCGAGTGAAGTGCATCGAGCATAGAATGAAGCTCGATAAGTTTGCCTTATCACTCGGAGTTCAGGCTTGGATTTATTACTTAGGATCCTTGACTGAAGAGAAGATTTCATGGTCATATCTTTGGATTGATCTGGACGTGATCTTAGCAGGATCTCGCGTGCAAGACTTATTGGTACTGATTGGACTTTGGTGTACTAGACCATATACCCATGCTAGAGTGATGCGTCGGTTAGGAAGGCGACAAGAAGTCCCCTACATTCCTGATACTCGTGACTTCATTAGGGAGTTTGAAACTATGGCTCACAGGGAGGTTGACATTCAGACCTATTGGCGCCACGCAATGAAGATGGACAGATATACTTTAGCAGCTGGCCCGCATTCACCTGGGTATACCCATGAGTACTTCATATGGCTACAGTCTACTCAGCGGGGGGTTAGCAGGCCACTGCCCCGACGTGTTATGGATATTGCTTAGACAGTTGATCGATCGATTTACTCAGGAAGAGGAGGCCCGTGCAACAGAGAGGGTCGGGGTACGAGCTACACTTCAGTCATTGAGATCACAGTTGGCAGGGTTGGTAAAGAACATGGGACACCTTACTAGAGTCAGCCTTCCAGATGCAGGCGCGCATTCCAGGATTCTCATTCCCAGCTTTGAGGTGTCCTTGCAGGGTATAATACAGAGCTTAGATTCGATGGGATTGACAGGGCCATCCGGACCTTCATCAGGCCCGTCCCAGCCAAGACCGTCACATTCGGGAGCAGCTTGAGGAGTCATTCTATTTATGTGTTTTGAGATTGTCTTATGCTGTCTTTTACTTTCGTGTCTAGTCTATGAGTACTGAGTCCTTTAGGTAGTGTCAGAGTCTGTCGTAGTGTAGTTGAGTCTGTCGGGTCTTTCATTATCGTACTTCCCATTGTATTTTAATATCGAAAAGTTTTTAAATGAAAAATCCCAAAAAAGATTTTATTTTTAGTTTATTTTCCATCACTTTTCCAGAACTACGCTTGGTCTGATTCATGAGGGACATGATACGTAGGCAACCTAAATCGGGTTCGATCAAATCATTTTTGATTAAAAAAAAGGAGTGAGAAGAAGATGATAAGAGGTGCTAGAAAAGAAAGAGAAGCAAGGATTGAAATGAGCAAATTGGGATGATACCGTATGACCCTGCGACCCTCAAAGCCATTTTAGAACCGTTACTTGTTGCTAGGTGCATTGCACGGAATGTGATATTATTATCTGATAAATTCCCTAACGCTAATATGGTGGTTTTGTGTCGTTTCCCTCTGTTATCTTTATTTCAATAACAGGAAGGTGGTTAGTTTGTTGGCATCCTGGCAAGTCATCCATACAACACCAGATCAAAGCGCCAGATAGTCATGACTAGTAAAGAAACAGACACAGGAGTTGTAGACACACCAAGGGAAATTGTTGAATCGGAGTCGGAACTGAAAGAGGAAGTCCGAAGGCTGAGGCATCAGACGGCGGAAATGTATCAGGCCTGGATTAAGGGACACACTCCACCTTCATTCCCTACCAACTGCGAAGAAAACCCTGCTTCCATTCCACCACTGTCCCAAGCCCAGATGCCGAATATCGTTGATCTTTCCCCAGAACACGCACCAGGCTTCACCCCTTACCATAATTACCCTGGCACTTCGGCCCAAATTTTCCATGCTCCACCAGCCAAACCAACTTCATAACCTGCTTCGTCATCTGCTCCTATTTTTGTACCCCCTCCACAAGCAACCCTCCACCGATCCTCTAGTGAGCCCGCATTCCCTGCTCCACATACCCAATACTATGCCCCGGAGCCCACCTTCAAAGTCCCAGATCATTACTCATACACTCCCCACTTTGATCCTCATGTTGAAACTGAGAAACCACCCAAGAATGCGGAGCAAGAGGAGATGTTTAGGAAGGTAAAGAGTCTGGAGAAATCATTGAGAAAAATGAAAGGGTTAGGAAACCAGGTGAGTGTGGCTTATAAGGATTTATATTTGTTCCCCGATGTCCAACTGCCTGCCGGGTTCAAGATGCCCAAGTTTGACTTGTATGACGGACATGGGGATCCTGTAGCTCATCTGAGAGGTTTTATAGTAAAATAAGAGGTGCCAGGGGTAAAGACGAATTACTGATGGCATACTTCAGCCAGAGTTTGAGTGGAGCAACTTTAGAATGGTACACCCGCCAGGATGCCAGCAGGTGGTACACATGGGACGATATGGCTCAGGCCTTCGCCCGTCACTTTCAGTACAATATAGACATTGTTCCAAACCGCCTATCTCTGACCAAGGTGGAAAAGAAACTCGGTGAAAGCTTTAGAGAATATGGGTTCCAATGGAGGGAGCAACCTGCACGAGTCAATCCTCTAATGGAAGAAGACGAGATGGTTGAATGCTTTCTTCAAGCCCTGGAGCCCACTTACTTTGGCCATCTGATCTCAGCCATTGGTAAGTCTTTCAATGATGTGGTAAAGATAGGAGAAATGGTGGAAGAGGGGCCCAAGTCGAGCAAGATCATGAGCTACTTCGCTATAAAAGCAACCGCGCAGGCAATCCAGAGCGGTTCCGGAAGTTTGCTAGGCAAGAAAAAGAAGGACGATGTCGCCATGGTTGTATCTGGGCCATGGAACGGCCAGAGGGGTTCACCTCATCAGTACACCCATCCTCGACCCCGACCTAAAACCTACACCCAAGCTCCACATAATCCACGCCAACATTACTTTCCCCCGCAAAACCCCCAATACTCAGCCAGACCACCCCAATACCATGTTCACCACGCACAGTCATATGCTCAACCCCCTGCTTACCAGCAATGGCGTGCTCCAGCTCCACAAAATACCTATCCACCTCTACAACCCTACCAAAACCCCACTGGTTCAAATTTTCGACCAAGGCTGGAGTATAGAAGAGAAAGGTAGTAGCATAAATAAACTTTCACCCCACTTGGGGAGTCCTATGCTAGTTTGTTTCAAAGGTTAAGGCAGTTGGACGTCTTGAGGCCAATTGAGTCAAAGATACCAAATCCCCCTCCAAAGAACCTTGATTATTCCCTTAGATGCGCTTATTGTTCGGATGCTCCAGGGCATGACATAGAGAAGTGCTGGCATTTGAAAAGGGCAATCCAGGAGATCATTGATACAAACCAAATTGTAGTTCAAAGCCCAGACACGCCGAACATCAACCAAAATCCTTTGCCAGCCCATGCAGAGACGCATATGATTGAAATAGTTCACAAGGATGGGGAACCCAACAAGTCTTCCAAGTCTGTCATGATGATTCGGGCCAGTGAAAGTAATTTGGTTAATGCTCTAGACTCTACCAAAGCAACACCCTTGACAGTTGAAGAGGTGACAGAGAAGCTGAGCTCGCCCAATTTGAAGCCACCGGTGTTGGTCGTGAAAGGGTCTTTGAAAGATATTGGGGCAAATTAGGAAATTCCAAAAGTGGTAGTGCCAGGGCCCCAGATAAGCCTGTCATAGTTGTGAAAGGGGCTTCTATTACCCCTGTTGTCATTAAGCCAGTGACCCAGCTGCCAGTGCTTAATACCAAGGTTGTTCCGTGGAATTACAAACAAGTGATAGTGACATACAAAGGAAAAGGGGTGGAGGAAGAAGTCAACAAAACTGGAGGATTTACTCGTTTTGGAAGATGTTTTACCCCAGAAGAATTAAGGAAAGACAAGCCGTTCAAGGATAGTCAAATGCCAGTAAAGAAATCGCTTACCGAAGAAGAGGATGAGGAGTTCTTGAAAAAGATGAAAGTGCAAGACTATTCCAATATGGAGCAGTTAAGGAAAACACCAGCTCAGATTTCTCTTTTGTCTTTGCTGATACATTCAGATGAACATTGCAGGGCCCTGATGAAGATTTTGAATGAGGTACATGTTCCTGATAAGATCACAGTGCATCACTTGGAAAAGGTAGCTAGCAAGATCTTCGAAGTAAACAAATTGTCGATATGGCCAGTTGAGTTCACTGTGGAATTCCAAGTGTTAGATGTGGCTCTCTCCTACAATCTGTTGTTGGGCAGGCCCTGGATACATGCTCATAAGGCAGTCCCATCATCTTTGCATCAAATGGTAAGTTCGAATGGGACAGGCAGGAAATAGTCATGCACGGTGATGAGGACTTATCAGCTTGTAATGACACAATTGTTCCGTTTATTGAGGCCGAAGATGATAAGGGACCTTGGGTCTATCAAACTTTCAAAACAGTGTCTGTTGAGAAGATTCCTGAAGGGAAATGCATTCCAGGTCCTAAGTTATCCTCCGCGTCTTTCATGGTAATGAATGAAATGTTGAAGAATGATTTTGTGCCGGGTAAAGGTCTAGGCTCATCTCTACAAGGCATTTTGTATCCAGTGCGCACCAGTGGAAATCTTGGTACATTTGGTTTGGGATTCATGCCCACAGAGAAGGAAGTGAAGAGGGTTAAAAATCTGAAACAAAAGGTATGGTCACTCCCCGAGCCTGTCCCACACATCTCTAAGTCTTTTGTCAAGCCAGGGGCCGAAAAACCTCCAATGCCAAAGCCTGTGGTCGATGTTGATGAAGAGCTGATCAAGAGGTTCCAGAGTCTGTTCGATGAGGTTAATATGGTAGAATTTGGCGAAGGTTCTAGTAAAGCAGATGTGCAGTTCGTTCGGCCAAATGTGAAGCTTAGCAATTGGGAAGCTGCTCCTCTCCCCACCAAGGAGTTTTAGTAGTTTGCTTTGTTTTCCTTTCTGTTATCTGGGTTATTCCAGGGTTGTAATCCAGAATTTTATTTTTGCTTGTTTTGATGTTCAAACCCTTCTGTCCTTTTATTTTCAATGAAATGAAATTTCCCGTTTACAATTATTCCTAATAGCGTTTCACTTTTATTTTCTTTTGTATAGTTCTTTTTATGCTGGTTGCAATGACATGACATGCATGAGGAATTTTCAACCAAGTCTTAAAAGCCAATCTGATTCTGAAATAATAATCCTAGAAGTAGAGTGTGATGATGAAACAGAATATGATGAAGAAGCAACATTTGAGGAAATCAGTAATGAGCTAAAACACTGTGAAGAAAAACCAAAGCCTAATTTGAATGAAACTGAAGCAATCAATTTAGGAGACCAGGATAATGTTAGGGAAACCAAGATAAGTGCGCATCTGGAACCACAAGTTAAGGAAGAAATAATCAAAATATTGTTTGAGTACAAAGATGTCTTTGCATGGTCGTATGATGATATGCCGGGCTTGAGCACTGATTTGGTAGTTCACAAATTGCCAACTGATCCGGCATTCCCTCCTGTCAAGCAAAGGTTAAGAAAGTTCAAGACTGACATGAGTGTGAAGATCAAAGAAAAAAATCACAAAACAGTTTGATGCAAAGGTCATTCGGGTTACTCGATATCCCACTTGGTTAGCTAATGTTGTGCCTGTACCAAAGAAGGATGGTAAGATCAGGGTATGTGTTGATTACTGTGATCATAACAAGGCAAGCCCAAAGGATGATTTTCCATTGCCGAACATCCACATTCTGATCGACAATTGTGCCAAGCATGATATTGAGTCTTTTGTGGATTGCTACGCGGGATATCACCAGATCTTGATGGATGAGGAAGATGCAGAAAAGACAGCGTTCATCACGCCATGGGGAACATATTGCTACCGGGTAATGCCATTTGGTTTGAAGAATGCTGGGGCAACTTACATGAGGGTGATGACCACCATATTTCATGACATGATACACAAGGAGATTGAGGTTTATGTAGATGATGTGATCATAAAGTCAAAGAAGCAGTCTGACCATGTTAAGGACTTGAGGATGTTTTTCCAAAGGCTACGCAGGTACAACCTCAAGCTCAACCCTGCACACTGTGCATTAGGTGTCCCATCTAGGAAACTGCTGGGATTCGTGGTCAGTAGAAGCGGTATTGAGTTGGATCCATCAAAGATCAAAGCCATCCAGGAGTTACCGCCGCCAAAGAACAAAACTGAGGTGATGAATTTGCTCGGAAGGTTAAATTACATCAACAGGTTTATTGCTCAGCTCACGACAACCTGTGAACCCATCTTTAAGCTGTTAAAGAAGAATGCTGCAGTCAAGTGGACTGATGAGTGTCAAGAAGCGTTTGATAAGATTAAGAGGTACCTGTCGAACCCACCGGTGTTCGTCCCACCAGAGCCTGGGAGACCTTTGATTCTCTATTTGACGGTGCTGGATAATTTTTTTGGCTATGTTATTGGGTCAACACGACATCACGGGAAAGAAGGAGCAAGAAATCTATTATCTCAGTAAGAAGTTCACTCCTTATGAGGTTAAGTACACTCTTCTCGAGAGGACATGTTGCGCCCTGACTTGGGTTGCACAAAAGTTGAAGCATTATCTCTTGTCCTACACTACTTACCTCATTTCTCGCGTGGATCCTCTAAAGTACATCTTTCAGAAGCCTATGCACATAGGAAGACTTGTAAAGTGGCAAATTTTACACACAGAGTTTGACATCATCTATGTGACCCGGACCACGATGAAAGCCCAATCCTTGGCCGACCACTTTGCCGAGAATCCGGTGGATGAAGAATACAAGCCATTGAAGACTTATTTTCCTGATGAAGAAGTGATGCATGTTGACAAGGTGGACCGTGACGAAAAGCCAAGTTGGAAACTCTTCTTTGATGGAGCTGCTAACATGAAAAGTGTCGGAACAGGGGTTGTACTCATTTCTGAAATAGGTCAACACTACCCTGTAACAGCCCAGCTTCGATTTTATTGCACCAACAATATGGCGGAGTACGAAGCATGCATTGTGGGTTTGAGGTTAGCTGTAGTTATGGGAGTCCAGGAGATATTGGTTCTGGGAGATTCAGATTTGTTGGTTCACCAAATTCAAGGAGAATGGGGACTCGAGACTTGAAGCTCATACCGTGCCGATAGTGTCTCCATGATCTTTGTCAACGATTCAGGTCTGTAGAATTCAGACATATTCCTAGGGTTTATAATGAGATTGCAAATGCCTTGGCTACTCTGGCCTCAATGTTATATCATCCGGACAAGGCTTATGTCGACCCCGTGCATATCCAGGTTAGTGATAAACACGCTTATTGTAATGTGGTTGAAGAGGAAATCGATGGTGAACCTTGGTTACATGATATCAAGGAATACATCAAGTCGGGGGTATATCCAGTACATGCCATAGGTGATCAAAAGAGAACCATTCGACGTTTGGCTAGTGGATTTTTCTTAAGTGGGGCAATCTTGTATAAGAGGACTCCAGATCTAAAACTACTAAGGTGCATAGATGCTAAAAAGCTTTGACTATCATGGCCGAAGTAAATTCTGGAGTTTGCGGGCCGCATATGAATGGGTATGTCTTAGCAAAGAAGATACTTCGGGCAGGTTATTATAGGCTCACCATGGAACGAGATTGCATCAGCTTTGTTCGCAGATGTCATCAATGCCAGGTGCATGGTGATTTGATTCATTCCCCGCCATCTGAGTTGCATACAATGTCTGCAACTTGGCCATTTGTTGCTTGGGGAATGGATGTCATTGGACCAATTGAGCCGGCAGCATCAAACGGGCATAGGTTTATTCTGGTGGCCATTGATTACTTTACCAAGTAGGTCGAAGCTGTAACTTTCAAGTCTGTGACCAAGAAGGCAGTGGTGGATTTTGTTCATTCAAATATCATTTATCGGTTCGGAATCCCAAAGGTAATCATCACAGACAATGCTGCCAACCTTAACAGTCATTTGATGAAAGAGGTATGCCAACAGTTCAAGATTATGCATCGAAACTCCACTCTGTACCGCCCCAAGGCGAATGGAGCTGTTGAGGCTGCTAACAAGAACATAAAGAAGATACTTCGTAAGATGGTGCAAGGTTCTAGGCAATGGCATGAAAAGTTGCCTTTTGCCTTACTGGGTTACCGCACTACTGTTTGCACTTCAGTAGGTGCAACTCCTTATTTGCTGGTATATGGGACTAAGACAGTTATACCTGCGAAAGTTGAGATTCCATCCCTTTGGATCGTTGCAGAAGCCGAAATCGATGATGATGGATGGGTCAAAACCCGGCTAGAGCAGTTGAGTTTGATTGATGAGAAGAGATTGGCTGCAGTATGTCATGGTCAATTGTATCAAAAGAGAATGGCAAGAGCATACAACAAGAAGGTGCGTCCTCGAAAATTCGAAGTCGGCTAGCTAGAACTGAAATGTATCCTTCCACATCAGGTTGAAGCTAAAGGCAAGTTCGCCCCAAACTGGCAGGGGCCGTTCATGGTGACAAGAGTGTTGCCCAATGGTGCTTTGTATTTAACAGACATAGAAGGCGAATGTGTACATATGGCTAACAATTATGATGCAGTCATGAGGTACTATGTATGAGTTCTTTGCTTATCTTCAATTGCATTTTGTACTTGGCATGTTCAAAGTTGAAATGACGAAGGCATTTTGTTCTGCTACCCAAACACTTTTATCCTTTGTTACCCCTTTTGAGCCTTATTTATTTTCTTTCATACCCCTCTTTTGGAATCAGGAGTAGAATTGGAAAACAAGAGGAAGAAAACGAACAAAGAGAAGAAATGGACAGGAAAGAGAAAAAAAAGAGAAAAAAAAAGAAAAAGAAAGAAAAGAAAAAAAAGAAAAAAAAAGAAAAAAAAAGAAGAAAGGAAAAGAAAAAGAAAAAAGGGGAAGGAAAAAATGAAAAAGGAAGAAATAAAAGCAACAAAACAAACAACTTTTGTTTGAACTACATTCGACCTGATTCCTTTTAAGGATACGTAGGCAGCCTTATGGTTCGGTCCCCTCAAAATAAAAATCCAAAATTTCCCAGACCCAAAGAAACTGGGGTAGAAGTTTTGGTTTTGCAAAAGATCTGATTCCAAATGTTGTAGTTTTGAACCCTTTTTCATCTTAAATTATTTTGAGCCCTCATACCACCCTTTCTTTCTAGCCTTGTCCAAAAGCCTACATTACGGCCCAAAGAAAGACCTTCCGATCAATCTTTGAGGATGCCAAGTCAAGCGAGATAGAGGTATGATTTACATCATGGGTAACACTCTGTTCATGGGCACAAATAAAAAATGAATAAAATGAGAGTCTTATTGGTGAAAACCCTCACAGGAACCGTAAGGCGATGG